ATATATATATATAGTTCAGACATGTTTATCTCTTGCTCCTGGATCCTATTTCAGTGAGCTCCCACACTGTGGGGAGGGAGGGTTTTGGGGTAAAGGGAGACTTACGTTCTTAATTGCGGGGAATGTTCTTGCTGGTTTTCTTATCCTTGGTGACTCTTACAGAGGTGCTAGAAAATTATTTTCTTTTGCCACTTATGCAAGAGGCTTGGTGCAGAAGCTGAAGGCAGTGTGTGCAAACACTCCTCCACACACCCCTCCCCCATCAGGTGGTGCCTTTGGAGCACTTTTGTGTAGGAAGGAATTCCTGCTGAACTGTAGCTCTCACTCACCCCCAAATCATTGAACGACCCTGAGGCCCAGATCCTGTGGTGCAACAGTGATGCTTTCTGCTACTTTCAAAGAGAACAGCTGTACATGTTGCAGGGCAGGATTTGGTTCCGAAGAGCAAAGACTACTGCAGACACCTGACTTGGTGGTTCTCCTGAGTTCTTATCTCTTAAGAAAAAAATGCTCCTACTGTTGATGTTTGTTTGTTTGTTTGCTTGTTTGTTTGTTTCATTTTATGATAAATTTTTATCCAAATTTCCTTGACTTACTTAGCCAAGAACAACTTGACTTGTTGAAATTAAGAAATTTTTCTCTTCCTTGTTTTCTAAAGGAATTCCAATAGACTGTTTTCCACCAATTATAGATCCAAAAGAGGTCATTATGAAGAGCCTGAGTTTGCCACCTTTTCCTTTAGAGTCACAGACTTCCTGTCCACTGGATGGCTCATAAATTTCTCTAACCCTGAGATTCTCCTCAGTTCTCTGACCAAAATGGCACTTACTAACTGGGCAAGGGATCTGTAGAACCTTTGAAGAAAGACTGAGCAGGAACTTTGCACCTTAAGTGTCTCCTGGTTTGTCTGTGACGCTCCTGTTAGGTAGGTCTGATGACAACACACATCTCTATTTGATGTAAAAAGTGATTTGCTCCTGTAATTGTTTTCAGGGTGTTTCTAGACTACATAAATGAGCCCATTGAAAAGGAAGAGCTTGTGAAAAATGGATGAAGATGGATGAGGGTAATTTAGAGATTACATTCCCCTTTTTCCCAATGTCCTAGTATTATACTATCTGTACCAAAATTTTCCCAAATGACTGGATCACTGCAGTGAAGCTCATCTAAGTTCCCCTTATTGGAGTTAAGGTTCCCATTTGCTGTCTGAGGGTGCTTGCTTACATTTCTGGTGGTCTGCACTTTGTTCCCCCTTTTGGGCTGGGGGTGACTTTCCTTCTGACTGCTTTGCTTATGTCCACAGGGAGCTTAAGAGTCTGTGTATTTGTCTCTGTTCAGTGTTGTTCAGAAAGGCAGTAATACAGACACAAATGTGTACCTTTTCTTGTGATTCAAGTGGGAGATGGTCATGTTAAGATTAAAGTTCAGAAATATTTTGGTCCCCTTTAAATTTTTCTTTAGCTCCCTTTGCTTTATTTCTCAGAGTATTTAATTTTCACCCCTAAATTTCTCTTACCTTTTGTTTCCCCTAAAATCCCTCTATAAATCAGTGAACTGCAAGCAGGGAAACTAACAAATGCTCATTCACCTATTTTGTGTGATGTGTCTTTTTTGTTTTGTTTTTTTTTGTTGTTGTTGTTGTTTTGTTTTTCAAACTAAGCTTGAACCAAAGTCAATTTTTAGCAAGCTGCTGTACTAATGGACTAGTGATAATGTGCAGTTCAAACACATTGAGGAGATAGATGCTACTGACAATTTCTTACTCATTTGTCTTGATTAATTTTATATGAAAGTTGCTGCTTGTTTTTAATCTTTTATGATGGTAAATTGTAATATCCTCTGGGCAGACCTCACCTTGACTTTTAACTAGTTTGTTTAGATCGGTGTGTGCACAGAATGGCCATGTCAGTTACTAATTCCTTTCTCACTGTCAACTTTTTCTTTGTTGTTAATTTAATCTTTATCTTGACTTAACATCTCTAACCTTAGTCTGTGCACATAATTTTAGGACTGTCAATACTGTCTCTGCCCCTAGCAGAGAGTCCCTTCCTTGGGAGTGATGAAATAAGGAGGAAGGATTCAGGGAGGGAAATGCTGATTCCACCATACTGGATAGAGGTTATGGCATTAATTTCCCAAAATTGCTACCAAAGGAAATGTGGGGTCCCAAGGGACCCAGCCCAGTGAGTTAAGAAGGACAGAGAAAGGCCATTTTGGTTGTTTTCTATAAGTTAAAAGAATCTCTTTCCCAAGTAAGAGTCCCCAACACACTTTGATTTAAAGAAGTCATTACACTTTAAGTATCAGCCTGCTGGGCTTTCAGTCCCTTCTCTGTCTGTACTCTGTAGTCAGTTTGGGAAAGGAATTCTGCCCTTTTTTATGTAGATCATTTGATGAGGCTAGACCTTAAGACCAGCATAAATATTGTATTGAGAAGAAGAAATAAATCTTTAGACAAAAATAACCTTAATTTTTTTCTCTTTTTTGCATATTTAAAACTTAAGTTGTGAGATGAAAGGTACTTTTAGACATGTACACATGAAACACTAATATAGCTTGTTGGTGGGTGTTTAGTTTAAAATCTGCTCCCATCACCATCCTAGATAGTCTACTGACCATATTGCTTCACAAACACCTTAGCCCTTTTTTACTTGATAGCATTGTTTATTAATAATCTCAAATGCTTTTTGAATTGATTGAACTATTTCCTAAGCTTAAATACTCAGACTTAACTTTCATGTGGGAGTCTAGAAACTAAAGGGGTCATTTGACCAAAAGAAGTGTTTGGTTGAGTTTCTACATTTCCAAGAGAAAACATAGGTCATTACAGCTCATTGTTTCACTCTTCTTCCCCGTAACATTTATGCAAGCTTAATTTCATCTCTGAATTTGGTAAACACAGAGGAAGCCAAAGACTAGTTTTAAATGCATTCGTAGGGATACTATATTTGCCCATGGTCATGGGCCCTCCCTAGGGAGTAGAGAATGTACTCGTTTAGATCCTGTTTAAGCAATTCAGTTTGGTCATGAATTTTATTTATACCCTGTGTAAATCTGAATGACAGCAGAAAGACCTAAAAAAAAAAGGGCTTCTCAAGGAATATTACTGTTCTAAGAAATAAGTTGAGTGCTCTATTAGCTTAAATCTTTCTGAAGTTCTTATAGGCAGCTTTTTAGAATCAAGAAAAATTATTTATATCCATTAACTGATATAATACACACTTCCTTTTATTTATTGTCAGAAAGATCAATACTATCCCTGTTTATGTAATGTGTTACTCCAGAATGGAACCAGAGGAGTCCAGCTTTTATTTTGTGTATGACCAGACCTATTTATACTTCATAGTAGTTTTATTAGAAATTAATGATTTTTTAAAAGGGAAAATATCAAAAGAATTTTAGTCTTGCCAGCTTGTTCTATATCATTCATTTGTTGTTAGGAAAAAAAGCACAATTATACCTCTTTAATGTTATTTTGCCTATTACCTATCCTTTTGGAGGGGGAAGATAGGGTAAATCTCTTTATTATACAGAAGCACAGGTATTTGCTTGACAATATTTCAGTTCAGCCCAATCTTTAACATTTAACTTGCTGTAAAAGCCAGATACATTTGTAAGGATGGGAATATTATGTCAGAGAAATGCAATAGTTCATAGTCTATAAAGTTACCCCCAAGCTTTGGCATCCACAAATCATTCTTGACCAAGACAGAAATATAGTCATTGAACTAGGAAGTCAAAGGAGAAGCCTCTTCTTGTTCCTCCCTGAGACAGGAGACATGCTTCCCTGGTGTGCACTACTGGCAGCCTGCATTGGCCCTGTTCCCTCAAGGAGTCCACAGACCAGTCCAAAGTTGAGCACACCTAATTAAAAAAGGAAGGGTCTCACCAACTCATCAGGAGAGATTGGTCAGAAATTTTCTCATTAAATTGGCTTCTAAATTTGTTGAATGTAAAATGTATTTAGTTTTCAAACTATGAAAGCTGAAACATTAAAGGACTGACTGTGCTAATTAGAGAAAAAGGCTAAAAGACTTGAAACCTAAAATTATCCACGTGGACAGAATTTGACATACTAATTGTTCATAAGTTTACTTTTATTTGTGGGCGTAACACAGCATTATTGTGTTATGTTCATATAAACATATCTGTGACTGTTTTGAAATCATTTTCAGATACTTTTTAAAATTAGTCTTTCTTAATATTTCAATTTTGAGAAGGAAAAAAATCGTTGCCATTCCTCTGGGAATCAGAGTGGCTCTTATGGGTTTTTGTGGATGGTATGTAGAGTACAGATACAAGCTTGAATAGGAATAGGCTAAATAATTTGCTTTTGTTATTAAAGACTGATGGGAATCCTGTTCTGCCTCATCCTTTTCTTCATCCAAAGAGACTTGAAAAGGTTCTATCAGAAGAGTAGGGAACATGTTCCTCAAAGGTTGTCCAGCTTTCAGCCAGTGTTTGTATGGCTGTGGGCTGTGGCTTCTAGGCATTCTGTTTCTGAAACAGTTCCTTATTTTAAGTTTTCTGCTCTTGGCCTTTGCTAAAAGCAGTAAACCTGAGTGAACTGCATGTCAATTCCATAATCTGGATCTTCTTACCTCTTTTCCTCCCCCTTATTTTTCTCTTTCAGCAGTGGTACCTTAATCTATGAGGATAATGCTTGTGGGTAACAGCTTCTGGCACCTTCATAAAATACCTCAGCATAGCTTAGCATTGTTGCAGAACTGGTTTTAGACTTAAAAACCAAACAAATAAAAGATCTTTATAAATAGTGGAAATAATTCTAGTTGTAGTATTTAGTTGAACTAATGTTTATTATGATCGATAAACATGATTGATGCTATATGTATTTGGGTTCCTGTTTATACGTTTCAGTTTTATACAGTTGAGGGTTGGGGTGGGAGAAAAGAAGTTGATTATGTTAGAAGGAAAATACTTCTCATGTGTGTGCGCTTGTTTTTCTTATATCTGTCTTGCCAAAGGAAGCTTAATATTCTCTATGACTAGGTTTGGGATTTTTGGCCTCCCTATGGTCTTATCTGCAGCACAGTGTGTGGTAACATGTGGGGTGTCCAGTAGGTTCAGGGTGCCCAACGGCACATTTACAGCCCTTCCTGTGGCTACCACACCTCCCAGACCTGCCACCTCTCCTGGTGATTCGTTACCTCTGTACATAAGCAGAAGCTTAGGCAAAGGAAGAGTATATGTATATCCAGGTGTGCAGATGAAAGAGACAGAAGCAGACATGCACCAAGAAATTTGGAGAGGAATGGAAATGGATTAATGTATCTTGATCTAGGAAAATTAAGGTGAACCAAGTTCTTTGTGTCACTTCTGTTGTGTCATTGAATGTTGTGCTAGTAGTAGCCCAACATTTCAAAACCTTATTTCCTTTTCTTATATCAAGGCTAGTTTTGTCTAGACCAAAACACAAACAGAAGAAAAGCCAAACCAAGAAGTTTAAAGCTACTGCTCACTTGGCACCTGTGATAAGGTATGACGTTTAAGGATTTAAGGTCATGAGATGGAGAACGTGTTCTTGGTGGGAAATGTGAGTGAGAAATGATGCTGGTTTAGGAAAAATTAAAGAGCCCTTTCTGCCCACACTCTGGGACAGACTGTCTTGACTCCCTAAGTTCCAGTATAGACTTTATCTCCAGAATGGCTATTTTTTTAAATAAATGCCGTCTTACTGAGCGTGAGTGGGATTTGATTTGAATACCAAAGACTCTGCTATGCCATTGCCTATCCTTAAGTTTTCCAAACAGGCAGGGGCAGGAGTAAAATGCTGAAATTGGGAAATGCTTTGCCTTGTCTCTTCCCTTTTCTTTTTCTCCTTCCTCTCTCTTTGAAGGACATCTTATTGGTTAGTCTGGCTTTGGAAAAGATGTATTCTGTTTTACTCTGCTAGCTCTGTATATGGATAGAATTGCTTAGTATAGCATTGATATTCTTGGAATTGACTGAGAAAGTAATCTGGGGAGTGAAAAGATAGTAATAGAATTCTTTATTTAATTATTATAAATGAAACCAGTTTATCCAGCCTGTTTGAGATCAGGCCATATTTAGATGCGAAGAGCAGATTACAGGAAGACCAAAAGCTGTTTCCTTACTTATCCTGTAGGGCTGATTTGTTCCACAGTGTTTTTATGATATAGCCTCTAGGGAGCTGAGTAGTTCATTGTTTAGGTATGCGATTGATAAACACTGACAGGGAAAAGAGGCATATTACAATAGCCCATCAAGAGTGATCAGGTTGCTAAACTTCATGAAAGCTTTACTAGTTATTGTTCTGACATTATGTAAAAGTAGTGTTAATGTGTGAGTTTTCAAAGCATTAGGTAAATTTATATGGTGATAGGGATACTGAAAATAAGAGCACTTGAAACAGAAGCTGTGGGAAAATAAGGTATGGGTCATGAACTCCACGGGGTCTGGAAGGGAAGATATGGTATATGATTCCTCTGCATCCCTGAATCTGCCCACACTGCACAGGGCTCCACCACCCTTGCCCCCTTCTGGTTTAAACCCAGGGCACTGTCAGAAAGTAAGAACCTCATGCTAATTTACTAGGGGTGCAGGGGGAGAGTTGAGGTCTACTGCAAAATTTTCCCATGTTTTCTTTGTTTACTTGTTCATTAGTATTTAACTTGGCAACAGCCTCACAAAACAACTTAGAACTTCCCTCATAAAGTGGCAGTGGCATTGAATTCTCACCGTATCCCAAAGTCTGCAGGCAGACAGCCGGATACAGTACTGTTTTTAAAAAGACATCTGAACATTTGAGTTCCTTAAAATTGTGATCTCTTTTGAGTAAAAATTGACAGAATCATCTCCCAGCCCTAAGTGTCTCAAGGTCCGAAAAATACAGGAGGAAATGAAGTGCACTTTCCAAAACTGGTATGACAATATCTGTTAGGAGTACCTGTGGTTTGGGCTGGCTGGGAGCACATCTTGGGTTCCATTCCTACATGAATCTGCAGAAGGCACATGCTTTCTAAGAGTGGAGTGATCTAATGCTAAGCTTGTTTAACTTAAAACTGCAACCAATTGGAGAAAAAAGGGGAGACGTGCCCCAAGACTCTGCAACCATACTACAACATTGACTTTCTACAACTTAAATGCTAAGTAGTGTCTCTTCTAAGTCAGATTGGGAGAGAAAGACTTCTTCCAGTTTCTTACCTCTGCCTGTGTGGGCATGTGTGCATTACTCAGTCCACAGGAGGGTTCACTCTGCAGGAGATGCCCTCTTCCCAAAGTGGGCCTCAGTCATTCCTCTCATCTGCGATAGTAGTGAAGGCTAGATAAGTGTCGGGTATTCTGCCCACCACACATCCGGGAGCTGTTGTATACCTCATTTCTAACTCATGACTGAGTAACTTGCTTTAACTTCCTCTCAACCCTACAGAGTTGCCAAGTCCGCCCTCCCTCCACTTAGTAATGTTGAACTCTGGCCTATAGCATCATAAGACCTGTGACCTAGGGTGGGACCTCCCTAAAGCCTCTGAATGTCTCTGCTTTGAAGCTACTACAAACTGAGGGCAAATTGCAATCTCCTGTTTCTTTTTGTTGCCAGAGGTCTTCACAGGTCTCTTAACATCTGTTTCCCCACCACCTTGCCTTTAAGGACTGCCAGCTGTCTTCACCCCCACCCACCCCATACTTCTAACTGCTGGCCACACTTCAGCCTCTGTCCATGCCTTTTCCCAGGTGGGGTAGTGGCTGTCCCCTTCTCTGAGGCCTCGGGGTTCTGTGCATTAGCAGGACTTGGGGTACAAGAGAAGACACCAAAGGCTCATTTAAGCTGACTGCTGCATACGCATTTCACTTTTTTCCTTTGTGACATGACCAAAAAAAAAAAAAAAAAAAAAAATCCAAATATTTAAGTTTATTATTAAATTATTATTTTTGACAATCTTATATTCAATGGGCTCTCTAGAAGCTGCATCCCCGGCCTTTTTACCTTTTCTTTGAATGTAGTTCTCAACTTTCAATTCCCACCCCAAAAGTTGAAAAAGAAAAAGTAGCTTAGCCAAGTCAGGTCATAATTCTGCTGCTATAAGCCAGGGGACTGTGGTTTCTTTGTTTTGTTTTGTTTTAAATTTCCAGCCAAAACCAAAGATTTCTTAATGATTGTATAAACTCAAAACAAACAAAAAAACCAAAGAAAAGGGAAGTCTTCAGCATCAATCCAGTCTGTGGTGTCCTGGCACTTAGAGGCATGAGGCCAAGGGCAGGTGGGGATATTTCTGACCAGATGAACAGACAGGTGAGCTGTTTTCCATATTGAGGGTTTTGTTCAGGTGGGTGCTCAGTAACTCTGGCCCTTGCCAGCTTGTGAGCATGCATGAAACAAATTGGCACATCAGATTTTCCAAAAGAAAAGCCCAAACCCCATCACTACGATAACCCATCTGACAACAACCAGGGTCACTACTGGAGCTTAGCACAGGGACTAGGAGCCATGAGTTGCTGCTGGACTGGCCATGGACTCCACAGAGTGGAGGAAGTTGAAGACGCTGGTGCAGGACTGGCTGCTCTGCTGGGTGCTTTCACCTCGGGGGGGCTGGGTAGACATGCCCTTCTGAGCCTTTTTTTCTCTTTTCTTTTGCTGGAACCGCTTGAAAGTGGCTATCCTGTTTGTGAGAAAGACGTGTAGGAGGATTCTCAAGCTTTTCATTTCTTATTGGAGTTTTATTTTCTTTTTGCAGCACCACTGTGCAACTATGCATTGTATTTCATAACCTTTGTGCTAGGTAGATGCCTGTGACTTTTTAACTTGGGGGGTGGGGGGATTGCAAATGAAGGAACTTTTTACATGGATCTTTTTAACCTCAGTTGATTGGGGGAGGGGGGTATTTGGTTCTAGGGTCATACAAGCTCTATCCCAAAGCAAAATCCAAATGTTAATAATATTAGCCTGATGCAGATACCAAAGATAATTTCTTTCCTGCAGAACCTTAGACTTGTGTATTAAGTACGATTACCCAGCACTTGCATTAGTCTAACCTCAGTAATTCCAAAGCTTAGATGTATATTTTGGTATATTTCTGGGATATTAAAAGAAACTGTCGTTTAACTTCTTGTTTGTTTCAGTGTAATGCTCTTAAAGTCATAGCATGAAAATAATTGCGCTGTCCTATTCTTAGTAGTTTGAAATAATAGTATTTTTGTATGTTTTGGGTGTGTCTATGTATGTATTAACATAACAGTTTTCACTGCCTAGATGTTCATAATAAAAAATGAAAAAGTTCTAAATGTACATACTATTCAGTAATAGCCCTCTACCCGTGTCGACTTTGATGCATAGTCATTGATTACTGTGCCCAGCTGGGGTTTGGTTTTAAAGAGATGGTGATCGTGTTTTTCTAAAGATGTTGCTTTCTTCTATCTTTAAAGACCTTAACTTCCCTGCTTTTTCTTTTCTTCCTTTTTCTTTTTAATTAATACTGATTCAGGGGTGTTTTTCCACTGTTGTCAAAGGAGGAACATAAGGGGAATTTGCCCCTTGGCCTCCCAAAACTTTTTGTTTTGTGTACTTTAAAATGTGAGTTTGAGTTCTTCTTTGTGGAAACTTATGATGTAAATGGTTCTTTCCAGAATTGTCCAGCAGCTTTAATAAGCAGTGACAATTTCTGAGTAGTGTTGTTGGGTGTCCTCTTAACTTCTCCTTAAGATGTCTTTGCAGTCTGGGTGGCTATTGTATAGCCCTACTGCCCCAGAGCGCCTCTTTAGCCATTTCTCTTCTGATGGGAATATTTTCTAAAAATCAGCTGATAACTCAGAGCGCTGACCCTTGTTATCTGTCCCCCTGGGAAACACGTTTTCTTGGTTTGGAAAACCTGAAACACAAGTGATGCCATTTGTTGGGGATTAACCGGTACCTCCAGAAGCCTGGGGAAGTGGCGGGGACTGTGAGCGGTGCTGTCTCTTTAAAAGTGCCCTTTATGTGATTCCCCCTCCTGGGGCTGCCTGAGGGGCTATAGCTTGGGAGAGATTGTATGCTGGTGAATCAGAATGAAATGGTAGATTTTGTGTAGATGCATTTGTCTGCTGTAATTTTTTAGATATATTAAACTTACTGTAATTGTACAGTTCCAATTTCTGTTGTAAAACATCATTAAACCATTTTCCAAGTGTTTTCACATTGTTTGTGTTTCTGTGAAGTTGCTACCTTGGTGTTCTTCACACAGATTTCTCACATGAGCCCTTCAAATTATTTCTCCCCATAGGTGTCTCCTAGGAACCCCAGAACCTAAGCACCTTGGTTCCCTACCCTTCTGGCTCCTGCCTGAGCTCCTTGGGGAGCTATGTTCACTGCATTTCTGCCCCCCAGACCCCCGGTTGGGTTTAGTGGAACCTTGGCTTGAGTAACAGTGGTCTCCTTGGGACCTGAATGTTTTGTGCTGTTATCAAGCATGCAGGCCCCTGTCTCACATGCCCCTGTCCCACTGTGTATGTAACGGAGGAACTGGACTTGAACTCAACTTTTCTAAATTTATTGTTTGACCACCAGGCCCACACTCCTTTAGCATTTCTTGCCAGACCCTGAACAGGGGTGGGAGCATGGGGTGGGAGGGTGGTCTTCTGAACTGGCATCTGGTTCTGCTCAGTGAGAGTGTGTAACTTAACTGCTTCTGGCTTCTTACACTATTTAACATCTGGTATCTTCATACAATTCATTGATTTCCTAAGATGGGAAATTTGAATCCTAAAACTTTGTCACAGAGAAAAGCATTCAGCTTGTTGGGGAACTTTGGGGTGTGCCTTTCCCAAGTACATGCTGACTCTGAAGGTAGAGAAAGCTCCTGTCTCAAGATGACCAGGGGGCTGAAGCTGGAAGGGAGATGGGCCTTCATTTTTGCTCCTTGTTCTTTTCCACTCCTTCCCTTCTTATATCTTGCATGTACGTTTGTAAAAAAAAAAAAAAATTTAATAATTTCAAGTTTTTAGCAGAAATTCTCTTTGGTAAAGACCCTGGCAGCAGCTTGTATGATTCCAGGGGCTGGAGAGATGGCTCAGCGGTTAAGAGCACTGGCTGCTCTTGCAGAGGACCCACATGGCAGCTAACAACCATCTGTAACTCCAGTTCCAGGGGATCTGACACCGTCTTCTGACCTCCATGAGCATTGTGCAGCATGAGTGCACTTACATACATGCAGGAAATACACTCACACACATAATTTTTTTTTTAATTAAAAAAAGAATGACTTCAAGCAAAGCCTGTGATATGCCTCCAAAGGAATGAGCATTAAGATGGGACTCCACCCTGTGGTCCCTTTTTATAAAGTAGCTATGTTCTAGCCACTTCCAGGGCCCACAGAAAGCAGAGCTCTGTATGAGAGGAAGTGGTGAGTGTCTGCCCTGGCACTCCATGGAGAGCCTTCTCTGGTTCTAAAGACCAGGACTGTTAAAGCTAAGACTAATCTGCAGTCAGAACTCAACCATGGGTTCACAAAGGTAGGTGCAGCCCTATAGCTGAGACCACTGAGCCACCAAACACATCAGCCAGGAAGCACAGAATGAGACCCACAGCAGGAAAGCTAGCCAAGCGCAAAGGCTTTAAACCACCCTCCAGAGATGTCCTCTTAGCTTGCACCAATCATCTGCCCTTTGTTCCAGGCCACCAAACCTGGCTCAGAATCCGGTAACTGCCCTTTGTAAGCCAGAAGCATTCATTGGGTCTTCTTCCAAGAAAAACCTTGAATTTAGTTTTTTGAGACAGGGTCTGATTTGTGCAGTCCTGGCTAACCCAGTACTCACTCTTTTGCCCAGGGTGGCCTTCAACTCAAGGCAGGCAATTGTTCCTCAGGCTCCTGAGTCCTGGAACTAAGGCACAAGCCACTATGGCTGACTAAAACCTTGACTCTTAAGGAAAAAAAAAAAAAAAGATACCGAGAGGGTTTCTTTCCATCTTAATTTATATACACAATGTCTTAGTTCCTTAATACAAGTGAAATTCCATGTTTCCTTGATTTTAAGAAATAAGATTTTACATTTTATCCATAAAACAGGACTGCGTAGTGTTTTAAACCCTCAGGCTGGAGGGAGAGCTCAGCAGTTAAGAACACAGACTGCTCTTGCAAAGGATTGGGTTCAATTCCCAGCACCCACATCACAGCCCACAGCCATCTGTAACTCCAGTTCCAGGGTATCCAATGCCCTCTTCTGTCCTCTGTAGGCATTGCACAACATGGGTACACTTACATACATGGAGGCAATACACTCATACATATAAAATAAAAACAATAAAATATTTTTTAAGAAAATAGAGAGATGGCTCAGCAGTTAAGAGCATTGGCTGCTCTTCCAGAGGACCTGGGTTCAATTCCCAGCATCCACATGGCAGCTAACAACCATTCATGACTCCAGTTCCAGGGAAATCCAATGCCCTCTTCTGATCACCACAGGCATTGCACAAAACAGGTGCACTTACATGCAGGTAATACACTCATACACATCAAATGAAAATGTTTGCATTTAAAAAAAATGTTTAAACCCTACTAAATAACTTGGTGTCACAGCTAGTAATATCTGGAATGAAGGGCCTTGGTCGTGTTCTAAAGCCACTGCCAAGCCTTGGGCATGGCAGGAGTCTTGACTAGCCCAGGAATAGCCAATGTCACCTTAAATCTGGGGCTTGGCTGCCCAGGAACTCTGGTTCCTCAGCTCTGCTATTGTAGGCACATCTGCCCAGTTCTCTCCCACTTGCTCTCCGCATAGCTACATTGCAGGGAAGACCCTCTCGACCTCACTCTAGCCCCACTCTAGGTTCACTCTAGCTCCAGAACTTGCTTCCAGCTTTCCTCTTTGCCCTCGAAGACTTGTGGGGGTTTTGTTGGGTTTTTTGTTGTTTTAACAGAACTGGGTCATACTCTTATTTTGCAGTCAGCTATACAGGTCACACTGTCTGCAGAACTCGGCTGATCTTGAAAGTAGGTCTAGCACATTCCTGGGTATAAGGTTCACTCACTTGACTAAAGAGCCCAGCTTCAGCTATAAAGGTGAGTAGAAGGCCCCTGAAAGACTAGGTTACACGTCAAATGCCTTATTGTGACTCACCTGAGTTGTTTGTGCTTGGAATCCCTGATTTTCAGGGGCTTTTAACAGATGGCCTTGAATTTCTGTTTTGAAAAAGCCAACATACAAATTTTAGTCTTTACATATTATTAGTTGGGGCTGATGACAGGAGAGATACATAGAGACACTAAAACTAGACAAAGTGCTGGTGCCTTTAGTGAGGGAAACTGACCTAAAAGACCTCTGTTGCCCACTCTCCGCTCCATCTTCACTCCTGTGGATGAGACACAGCTGCTGACAAGCTGTTCACTCCTGGATGCTCTGCTCACAGCATTGCTGCCCTGGGAGATTTCCTGCACTCCACAGTGAGATTCATGCCTCAGGATTCCTTCCTGTCACCATCCTCCCATTGAGTCATAATTCCAGGCCCATCCCTCACTACTGCATTGGGCACCTTGCCGGGACGCACAACCACCAGCCCTGGTGCCAAGCTTTCCTACACAGGTGACACTGCCCATGGCAGTTTTGGGGGTGGTTGCATATACTTGTGCCCACATGCCTATTCTCAATCAATACTTTTGCCCCTCTGCAGAGGCTGCCTGCTGATTTCCTGACATCTGTATTACTACCCCAGCCTTGACTGTTGAAATAAGGCTTAAAACAACATTTTTAGCAAAGCATTTATTATGCAAAATAGTAAAGCTTTATTTAGAAAGTCAGTATAAATTAAAGCCCAGGAGAGCAGAGGGTTCCCCACCCATGGTCACAGGTGCTTTAATTATGCCATGTAGCTACAGTCCACTGGACAGGTTCTTCCATTGTGCCATTGCTGTGGGAGCACTGCAGGACACCCTTCTTCAGGTCTTCCTGCCACTCAAAAGAGATGAACTAAGTTCCTGAGAAGAAGGCAGGACCTGCTCCCTTTTCTTGCACCCCTTTCACTTTGTTCATTCCTTGTGACGACATAGCCTGTTCTCGGTACCAGTTTGTACACAATTCATTTGCCCTCTAAGACCATGAGCTCCATTAGGGTAAGGCATCTTTCCATCCCTGGAATGCCTGGCACACTGGTTTCATGGTGTGGAAAGTATGCCTGAAAGATAGAGCCCTCTCGGAACTGCTTCCTGTGCTGGGGACATTCTCTGCTGCTTCCCTTCTGTGACCCCTCTGCCTGACACTTGCCTGGACTCCCATCCACCCCTCTGCCCAGCCCTTTCACAGTGTGGCCTAATTACAAGTTATCTTGACACAGGGAAAGACTGACAACAAAAGCCAAATTTACAGCAGGGATGAAGGCAGTCAATATTAATAGAATAATATAGACAGCCTGTGTGCTTCTCTAGGGACTTTACAAACAGACTGAACAACTCGGCCATGAGAGGGAAAATGCTAGTCTGCTGGCCAGGACTTGGCATTGCAGGGAGAAGGGCCTCCCTACAGTCACCAGAAGACCAAAGAACAGGGTTGGGGGAGGGGAGGAGAATACTCTCTTTAATGAGTCCAAGAATGCCATCCTGTGCATGATACTTTGGAATTGGAGAAGACCAAAATATGACAACTTGAAGCATCGTCTTCATAAAAAGGTGGCTATGAAACGAATATTCGAGTTTAAATGCTCTATGCTGTGTCCTTCACAATCAGCATCAGCAGGTCAGGCCCATGAGTGGGAAATCCCCTAGCTGTTAGCGAGGGGGAAGGGTCTGCATGTGCAGGGCATCATAGGTATCCTTGGTGGCGGCACTGAGCCCCTGGTGAAAGCAAATCAGAGAAGAATGATCAGCCACCCACAGGTGCGAATTGACAGTCTGCAACTCACCGATGGCCCCTGCTGCCTCCAAGAGCCCAAAGGGTTCCCTCATCCAGTGGGTTGTGGGGTTTGGATGAGAGTGCTGCCAAAAAGATGGGTATCAGGGCTGGAGCGATGGCTCAGCAATTAAGAGCATTAGCTGAGCTTCCAGAGGACCTGGGTTCAGTTGCTGGCACCCACCTGGTGGCTACCAACCATCCATAACTCCAGTTCCAGGTTATCCAGTGCCCTCTTCTGGCCTTTGTGGGCATTGCATGCATGGGTGTACTTAAATACAGGCAGAACATTCATTCACATAGAAATAAAATTCAAAAGATCAGTTCTGTGTCCTGTTGCAAATGGCCTTGAAACAACTCCTTTCTAGCACCCTTTTCCCAGTTTTGTAAATGCTGTGCCCTACAACACCTGGCCCCAGCCAACTTCTTTTGGGAAGGACACTTCCCTATACAAATACTGAGATGGAAAAATCTGCTGTCCCTGGTACCTAGGCTCACAGAAGTCTGAACTAGTCACCAAAAGAGGCAGCTCCATGGCCTCAGCCCTTCTCCATGAGCTTCCAGGCTCAACCCTGACCACTGCAGTGTATTTTTTGGTAGGGCAGGCAAAGGTGGTCCCAGTTTCACTGGAAGGCTTCCCTGTCCCAGGGCCTAGGAAGGAGAGAGGCCTCCAGCAGCTGCCAGCAGGCCACTTTGAATATCACTCTACTCAGGCAAGCCTTGCACCAGGGGAGCTAGAACGATGAAGCCACTGGGGATCCCTTTTTAGAAAAGTAGGTTTGCTATGCTTAGTTTGCATAATCATCTGCACTAATTTGCATAACCAGGCAGCTGATTACAATAATATTTTCTGTTTAAAGCTGCTTTTTTTTTTTAATTCTTCAATCTTTCTCCCCACCCCCCTGGATCTTACTAAGTCTTATGATTCAGGCAGAGCAAAGCCTCTGCCAAGGGAACAAAGACAAGAATCACTTGTGTAGAGTCCTCTGCTTACTGCCTACACCTTTGGGGACCCTCTGCATCCCCATCCCCCAGATAGCTGCTGTTGTCTACTATAGCTAAGGGTGAATGGGGCCCCCACAGCCTTTTGGTTAGAGCCAAGTATCTTCTTGAATGACTGAGTCCCAGTACTGCTGTAGTAACATAATGGCAGTAGAGTTGCCTTTGCCTGTGTTTGTGGCCTGTGTATTTGCTTGCCCTGCCTTGCTGTTGACATTGGCTGGTGCCCTGGCAAGTAAACCATGGGAGCTTCAACCCCACCCCATGCCAGATAGTACCACCTAGAAAGGAGGTCCACAATTCTCACCTGGTAAAGGCCATCATGCCCCTTGCCTCTCCGCCGCTATGAAATGAGAAGGGGATTAGAAAGGAAGACAGTCAGTAGCGGCACTCTTGCCCAACTGCCCCTATTCAAAGGTCCCTCGGAGTCAGAAGGGACTGTTTCCCAATCAGTGTCCTCCCTAGTAGAGAAGGGTCCATGGGCCCCTAATCAGACCTTTGCCCTAGCAGAGTTTGGTGAGTCCTGGCTCTGAAAGGGATCAGGTTCACTCTGTCCCACTCAGATCAAGATCTGGGCCCCAACAGTGTCTGGCCATGTTGCTAGCTTCTTCCCTGCAGCTCCAAAATCATGCAGTCAGCAAGGCTCACTGGGAATGGCAAACTGGACAATAGTTCTGAGTTCTAGTGCAGAACCAGTTCAAATCCTGCTTCTTACGTACTTGCTCTGTGACCTGAGTAAGTACTTTGCCTCCTTGTACCTTGCAGGACACTCATTTCTCATCAGGTTATTGTGGGAATTAGAACCACCATAGAAGGCACTGACCTTACTGGCTGGACAGTTGGTTGCACAGGTTCACTGCTCAGAAGAGCTCAATGCTATGCCCTCACTATTTTGAAATTCTAATGAAATCATTTATGAACAAGGGTCCTGCATTTTCATTCTGCCCTGGGATCCGGAGTCAATGCACATTAAGCACACAACAGTGCTATTAGCCATGACAGTACTTGAACAGATTGGACCTGCTTCCACAAAGCTTAGGCTATCAAACTCTAGATTTGCCTTTCAGTCCTGACAGAGCCCCAGTCGTTCCTTAGTGTCTCATGAACTATGGCAGGGGTATCTGGAAGATCACAAGGAACCCCCTGGGAATCAAGGAAGAGTGGCACCCACCTCGCCTTTCGTGCCAATCTCACTGTAGGCCTCTGCCATCTTGTCCTTTTGCAGTGCCTGAGGGAGAAGAGATGGCATACTGATCTTCCTAACCAATACAGAGCAGGCTCTCCCACAGGAAACTCTGGATTCCCATGCTGACAGACTCCCATCTTCAAGGCTTCATGTTGTTCCCCAGGAGCAGTTCAGGGCCCATGGAGGGAAAAGGGCTAGGGAAGATACCGTGCTATGACACTGCTCAACTAAGGGGATGTTCTAAAGCAGCTTCCAGAAGCAGGTGGCACATGACCGGGAAAGGGATGGCCTGGACAGAAAGACTGGAGTGGAGACAGAAGCCCCTTCTCCAGCCCCTCTCCAACTCTCTAGTGTGAAAGTGAATTCCCCCATACTTACATTGTACACACCTTCCTGGGGGTTCCTCCTCCTCTGCTGGGGAACAGAAACAAAGTCAAATGGGGAGAATCCAGGCTAGAAAGTGTGGTCAACCCCATCCTGCCCAACGTCTGCCTTGCCTGTAGCTCTACGCTCAGTTTCTCCTATGTTCTACCAGCCTTGCCCAAACCATGCATGAGCCTCGGTAGCAACTCCACACCTATACACCTATACACTTTGCACTCCCCACCCGGCCTATCTTGCCCTCACCTTGCCCAAAGCAGGCCTTAAGGATGTCTGCTAACAGCTTGTCTGTCTGTGTAGACATGCCCCCCTGTGTACCACATGCTGAGATTTGGCTATGTAACCTCATTTGGGCACTGTCTGCTCAGAACATCCTACTGAGGTGTGGTCACAGAAAACAGTGACTCCCTCCTTCCCTGCCCTTCCCCATGCCCTCCTGTTTCAGATAAGAGGTAGAGGGAAGAGCTGAGATTGGAGGATGTATGGGATAGGTGTTAGGAACTCTTTCCTACTACTCATGTACTCTACAATGCACACCCAGCTCAGGTTTAAGAGTCTACCCTGAGGGACACTGGGTAGCTTCGGGCAGTACACCCCTTAAACTGGGGTTTTGTTCTGAAGTCCTGCTCCTCAGAGGCTGCATCCTCTGGCTTCATCCTGCTCCTCCCCTCCATACTGGGGTGGATTCTACAAAGCCAAGAGGACACAGGCACCTGGAACTTAAAGTGACCATGTTCTGGAAGGATACCGAGAATCCAGAATTCCTTTCCAGTGGCCTTAACCCCTTCCTGTCGGTATCTGTCCTAGTGGCAGATGGTGCTACCATGTGAACATCTCACGTTTGCCAAGGAGTGGTGGAAGGGAAGCAGACAGAGCTTAGACATGAAGTCTAGGCTGATATACTCACACACTAATGCCCCTTAGGATGCAGAATGAAGCCAAGGAGAAAGAGAAGCGGGTGTCAGTGAGTGGGTCTCTATCATCCTCTTTCCCAGGCCCCACCCATGTTATTGTGTGTTGCCTGCTGTACTGGAACTGAGAAGCCCTCCCACAAGTCCACCAAGCCTCCAGAGGTAGAGGGGCTCCCTACCTGTTGGCCCCCCATCTCAGGATCCCGAGCCCGCCTCTTGTCCAAAACATCATATTCCTCTCTTCGTCCTAGATTGAGCTCCTAGAACAGACAGGAAGGTGTCACATGCAGAAAAGAGGACCTGCGAGAATGGGGCCAGCTCAGCTGGGGAGTTCGGTTTCTCACCTGGTGGCTCAAGAAAAGACACATAAAGGATGGGGAGGTGGCTCAGCAGGTGAAGGCAGTTGCCTCAGAGCCTGAGGCTCTGAGTTCAATCCCCAGGACCCACATGGTGGAAGAAGAGAACGGATGCTTGCAAGTCCTCCAACCTCCATACATGCACCATGGCACTCTCACATACACAGAGGTACATGTACACACACACACACACACACACACACACACACACACACACACACACACACACACACACACACACACACACACAAATTAAAAAGTAACACTTTTTAAAGGAACATGGATGGAGCAAGAGAGGTGGTAAGAAACTGATTCATCTTCATAGCACCACCTCAGAGAACCTCTCAGAGAAATCTGTTACCAAGGTGGTGTGTGGCAGGAACCCCAAAGTCACCACGGGCTTTTCCTCCTGCGTGCTGATCTGTCTTAATGGGGTTAGTAATAACATTCCCACTAGCAAGTAAAGCTGAGGCTCCCAGAGGGGAATCACAGATTGAAGTCCCACTTCATGGGGAGGTGATCCTCCAGCTGTGAAGATTCAGAAACTGCCCTTTTGCACTGTCCTCTATCCTTTGCAAATGGCTGGTGGCTGTGGAGCTCACTAGAAGCAGGACTGTACCATGCATCCAATCATTAAAGCTCATCATCAGAGGACCCTTATCAGGTAGGCATGATTACTACCCAAGTCTTACGGGTTAGGAAACTGAGGTTCAACAATTTGCCACCCAGTTACCAGGCTGACTGGCTATGGACCAGACCTACAGCTGAGCCTGGCCTTGACATTTCCCTGGGAATAAGACTGCCCTTCTTTCTGGGCAGGTCTGCAGAGGCAGGACTTACGTTGTAGAGCTGGTTGGGGCCTTGCTGGTAGGCGGCAGCATCTGCACTCCTGCTGAACTGCAACAGAGTAGAGAGGATGTGTCATAGCTCCCCCTGGGTGAGGGCCCCATCCTGCTTTGTGACCACAAATGGCACATGCCCTGCTGTTTGCAGCCCTTGCAAGGGCCCAATTCATGGCACTCCCCCTTTCTGAGCTCAGCTGTCCTTTCTCCACCTGTCTGTGACTTCGGCATATACAACTGTTGTCTTGGAAGAAGCTAAAGTTAATTCTTCCAGAAAAGGGCCTTCTACCCAGTATGCAGAGGTACCAGGCTCTCAGTCTGTGTCCCCTTGGGAACCAGGGGTAGACTCCAAGGCTCCTTCCCCCAGGGACTCTGAGGAAACTCAAGCTGGACAGTGACTGCAAAGGCTGCCTACTAACTTGGCCCAGAGCACCATTGCTTGTCCAGCTCTGTCCTAAGTAGGAAGTATCTTTGCTTACCTAGGGTTATGTGCATGTGCCCCAAGCTGACACACCTCATATGTTTTCCAGCCTATGACACCTCAGCCAAGAGAAACTGCAAGGTCTTTTAAAGTCAGAGCATCAGAGGAAATCTTAGAGACCACTGGGCAGTGTTTTCAATTTAAAAAAAAAAAATCAGTAAGACTTTTTCAAGGAAAATTTTATGTCAGAGTTTAAAATCCAGAAAGGAAATGGGTTACAATGCATTGAAGTGATCGGTCTTTCACCTTCTGTCCATCCCCAGACTCATCACAACACTAAATCCACAGTTTACAGGCACCTGGTGAAGATCAATGTTCTGGCCAACAGTTCCATTTACAGATGGGGAAATTGAGGCTTGGAGAGAAAGGCTGATGTGGCCTTGATTAGCAGTACAACAGCAGGACCTAAGAAGCAGCTGTAGGTCCATTACCTAGTATAAGTCTCCCGCCTGCCAGCAGCAACCCTACCATTGGACACTCCAGCACTGGTATGCATCCTCACTAACGTGCCCAGCACTAGGCAAATCCTCCTGCCCTGCCAGGCTTAAGCAGACCCCCCACTTTCTCAACCCACTCACTGTGCACACTTGGTTGTCCCCTGCTTTGCCCATGGATACCAAGCCCCAGGTACAGTCCAAGTCTGAGGCTTTCTAACACCAATATCCCTCAGAACATCCACCCAGTGCATGAGCTCACACCCTCTCCGCAGAGCCCAAGGGCACCCACCTTTGCTCTCAGGAACAGGGCAGTGACAATGACTCCATAGATGAAGAGGATTCCATCCAGCAGGTAGCAGAGTTTGGGATCCAGCAGACCAAAGCTCTGTGCCTCTGTGCCAAGATAAAACTAGTCAGCCAGGCCCAAGGTGACAAGAACATATCCCTATGACCTGATTGGTTCTATAACTGATTGTGGCCAAAGAAATCATGACAAGGACATTAGGAAGCCCAACTGTAAAAGAGCCTCTATATGAACCATGAATGCTAAGCCTCAGGACGTTTCCAGGTCTTGGTGATTAGACTGTGTAGCTCCTAAGGCCTACACATGGGGAGAGAACAAGACCCTAGGGGCTGACAAAGGTAGAGCTCAGAGATTTGGTGACTAAGTGAAATCATCTCAGTATCTACTAATTGAGACAGTGAAGTCTAGGTGGCAATGGAACTGTTGGCCAGAACATTGATCTTCTAGGTACCTGTAATCCCAGCATTTGAGAGGCTAAAACAAGAGGATTGTGAGTTCAAGGCCAGTTTGAGCTACATAGTAAGTCCAGGCCAGTTTGGACTACAAAGTGAGACCCTGCCTCAAACCAAAAAACAACAAAAACAAGCAAGCAAACAAACAAACAAAATTAGGATACTCCCTACTTCCTCACTCGCTGTCAGGCACTCTTGTGCCTGGTGTTGGCTTTCCTCCCCCAACCCTGGCAGGTTCCTTCAGGACTCCAACTTCCTACCCAACACCCCCCACCACCACCACTTGGGCTTCAAATTTCCCTGCCCACGTATCCCAAGGCCTCAGTCTCAACACCCTACACACTCACCCAGGACACCCTAGTACTTCCCACTGTTTGCCTCCACGTTTTTGCCACGTGATAAAACAAGTGCCATCCTACAATTTTCAGATCAGAGCATCTTTTGCTTAGTCTCGCCCACTCAAATACAGAAGGGTCCCTTAACCCCTCTTGTCTTTCTGATGTTTGTCACCCCATAACTAATGCGTGTGTAGTTGACACTGATGCCAGATATGAAGGGTAGAAAGGAAAGGAAATATGTTGGTTAAATAGAAAGCTAGCATTCCTATTTGAAAGATCACGCAATGCAAGCAAGCAGGTGCAGGTCTTGATCTAGACTGTGCTCCTACTAGGTGAGTGTGAAGCGGCCCCACCTGCCAAATGGAAGCATGTCCTGTGGAGGAGTCTTTCTTGCTCTGGCCTTGCTCCTAGCCTCATAAGCAGAGGTCCCATTGCTCTCCACTGTGTCTCCAGAGACAGGGGTGCCCTCTGGTGGCCGTTGGCTGGCCGGCCCTGTCAAAATTTTGCTGTATGACTTGGGACAAGTTTACCCTTTCAACTGCCTTTCCTATTAAACAGATGAAACTCTCTTCAGTGTTTGTTCTGTGCATTTTTTATTGTTTTAAGTGCAATCATTAGGGCCCCATAAGAGCACCACTCAGAAACACACTGAGAACTGTGGATTGATCACAGGCAGTGAGAGGAAGCCTGGCCCTGGTACAGCAGTGTACCCCAGCAGCAACTCTGCCCTGGCCTAGCTCTGCCTTCCCTCCATGCAGGTAACCCTTTGGTTTCCTCCAGTGCGGTGGAAGCAGGTGACTTTCTCAGGGTTCACTCATTGTCCCCATCTCCACAGCCCTGAAGCCCTCTGCCCTCCGCCTTTGATTCCAGCTCTAATCCAGGACCTCTCCTGGCCCCAGGCAGAAGATGTCTTTGTCATCTCCCACCGTCCCTGTACAGAAACCATTGATGACCTAGATACTTGGAGGAAGACCCGAACTCTGTCCAGCTATGTTCGGGGTCTGCCTTTCCAGGCCAGTAAGACCTCACCACTTTTCCAACTTTCTTCTTTCTTCCTTTCTCATCTTCCTTCCTTCCTCCCTCTCTCATCTTTCTTTCTTCTTTCTTTCTCCTTCCTTTCTTTCTTCCCTTCTTTCTTTCTTTCAGATAGGGCCTCATGCATTCCAGGCTGGCCTTGAACAACATGTAGCCAAGGACCTTGAATTTGCAATCCTCCCACCTCCACTTCTTGAATGCCGGGATTACTGGTGTGCACCACTATATTTGGTTTATAATAATGCTGGGACTCAAACCCATGGCTTCATGCTTGCTAGACAAGCACTCTACTAACTGACTGCATCCCCAGCCCTTCCTCCTGTCTTTTATACCCCATTCTTCCTTAACCACAATGGGTGCCTTCCTACCCCCACCACCCCTGCCATTGCTTCAGCTCCTCTTTTGGACTACCATTGCTAGCTCTACCCAACACCTGCAGAAATCAGGCCTATGTTCTGTCACCTGAGCCCCGGAGTAATAGTCAATGGATAGTGGAGGTGGCAGAGCATACTTCCCACATCTCAGGACTCAGACTACCCTCCAACCAGGCTATAAACACCTGAGACCAATGGCCATATCTTCATTTTTTGCCTCCTGTTCTACCCTCTACACCAGGGCACAGGAGGGGCATTCATCAGATATCCTGCAGTTATGGGGAGGAGAAGTCGGATAAGTCTCAATGATGAGGGAAATGCTGCCCCAGCCCTAGGCTGCTCTCTGCTCAAATAATGCTCTAAGAACCTCTAAGAGGTAAACCAGGCCCCAGTGAAGGCCACCAAACCTGGGGAGACTTTTTCTTTTAGGGCTGGAGAGGAAATGTCAGTGGCAATTTACGGGGTGGTTGAGATTCATAGAGAAGGCTAGGAGAAAATTGTTCAGCTGCCTGTCGCATAAAATGAGAACAGAAGAAATACCGGACAGTAAATTTAGAACAAATAAGAAATATTTATTTGTGTTATGTGGAGTCAGCACAGTAGGGGGGTAGGCAGGGGAACTAGGCACTCACCCCCTGAGACATAAGTAATAGGAACAAGGTTTCTTTCTTTCTAAGAGCAGCATGGTTTTACAGCCAGTGACAAATGTGCTGTGTGTGGGTTGGCAGAGGAAAGGACATTAACCCAGCAGTTCCCCTGGCAGGAACCTCCCCTCCTCAGTCCCGCAGTGTATGTACTGAAAGGAGTGGGCCTGAAGACTGCAGCAATAGCCCAGAAAGTTCCATGCAAGAACTCAGAACCTAATTCAATCACACAATTGATTAAATGGTTGCTGGGCATTGGCTCTGTGCCAGGGACTATAGAAACAGAAAGAGGGCTGGATTGGGTACAGGTGGCTTCTAGCATTCTCCTGCCACTTACTAGCTGTGTGGTCTTACAAAGCACCCCCCTTTTCTAGGCCTCAGGCCCACAGACATACCATCTACACAAATGAAAATTTCACAGTCAGAGAAGGAGAACCGAATTCAAGCCTTCGTCCTTTTCTTTGACAATGTTTGTGTACTTCCGACTATGGTACTGACCTTCCCGAAGCCTTGGTTTCCTCACTGTAAATTGAGAGGAGTTATGTTCCTTGAGTCCAGTTGATGATGATGATTAAATGCAGTGGTTCTTACCAGCAGAAAGACCTGATTTGTTCTCCATAATGCCAGCTATTGTGGTCACCCTATTTTTACTTTAAGCCCATGCATAAAAAGCTGGTATCTTTGCCCTTTGGCAGAACACCTGGACTAGGCCATGTGAGGTACCCAGAAATGATCCAAAGGCTCACAGAGTATCTTCCTGTTCAGTTCAGCTGTAATGCCCTGGGTCATTAACAAGAGTTAGCCTAGACTCCTCTGAGCAGCCTGTTATCACCCTCATAAGAGCCCTGGTTCAGGTATTGTGGCACTGCATCATCCAGCCCAGAGGTTCCAAGGCCCTGGAGGACAGCCTAGGGAGGCACAAGTGCTTACAGAGTCTGGGTTTTACAGTGAGTCGTACTTGCATTGTGTTGTCGGTGTCTCCCAGCCAGGCTTGTGCTTCTGAGAACAGGTATTAGGTCTTAATACACCCAGCCCTGTCAACAATGCTGACATACCCTGGTGTGTCTTCCTTCCTGCACTTCTTGCAGCAAATCCAGTTTAAGAGCTGGGCATCTGCTCAACTCCCTCAAACCCCACTGGTAAGGATACTTCCCACTTGACTGCCATTTGTACCATTAAAGTGACATCCTGTATCTGATCAAGTTTGATTCTTAGAAGAATCCAGAAGGCTTTTATTGGCGCCCAGTTCACAGCTTGATAAACTGAGACCGTAGGGTTAAAGCAATGTTATCAGGAAGGCCTGCTGGTTAGTGACAAAGCTGAAAGATTTACCTGGTCCCCCCAACTGCAGGCACTTTCTTAGCCCTCAGCCTCAGGAGACCCTCAACTATAGTGCAGGCCTCAGCAATCCCACCGGATTGCACATCTGGATGCACAGCCCTTTCTGGCTGCCTCCTTTTAATACTTAGTCACAGGGTCATGTGACTTTCACATCATTCATTCCTCTTAGTTCTCTCAGGTTTCCGTGGCTTGATTTCTCTCCTTACCTGGTGGCCCACCAGACACTGGAGAAGAGGAAAGAGCATAGGCCTCTAAGGCAGAAAGATTCTCAGAGACAAGGTCAGAGTTTGCTTATTGGCTGGGTGTTTCAGGAGCGCTGTCTTCACTCTCTGAGCTTCAGTTCTCTAGCTACAAAAATGATTTACTAAGACTAATGCCACGAGGCAGTGAGGCAGAGAGAATGAGGCCAAGGATATGAGGAGGGGCCCTGTACAGTGGCCCTGAGCTTGCAGGCCTATAGGGGCCTCCTTGCCAGCAGAGGCTCTGTAGGTACAGGCAGGAGCAAGCAGCAGGAAAAAGAACAGACTCCCCCCTCTCACCCCCATCAGGCTGTGGTTGGGAACAGAAACTGATCAGACTCCCCAGCCCACAGTGGTGAAGATACCTGGCTTTTAGGAGCATGTGAGGATCAAGTCAGACCACAGTGTGTGGGAAGGGCCTGGCTCACAGGAGGGGCTGATTTTGTGTGGGCATACTGAGAATTCTGGCTTCACAATCAATAATGATGCAATTCACATATACTGTTCTGCATACAGTTCAGAGAACTCTTTCCCCTTTCATGATCTGGTTTAATGCTCAGAGCAATCTTGTACCAATTGCATTTTGCAGATAAGAAGTAAGGCTCCAGAAGGTCAACTACCTACAATGTTCCTCAGCACCCCTGAAGCAAAGCTCGCTCTATCCCC